AAATTGTGTTACATTTTCACATCGAAACACCGAAATTACTTTCCCGTCGACCCAATGGAACGATCCATATTCACGCAAAAGATCCGCGAGCCGGTGAGTCACACTGCTCGGGAACAACAAACGCCGGCACGGAATAATTAACCGAGCCGTTTTGAAACCGGTGGAATGACATTCCGCAGCCTCCGGATGGGAGCCCGGCTCTTTATTGCTCGTAAAAAAGCTCGCAGGTTCGGGGTTCAAGGAGCGCGTCTGCGGCGAAGTTTGCGGAATTCGGCCCGTAAAACGTCCGGCTAAATAGAGAAATCCGTCGGGGGAAGGTTTACAATTCGCGCGAAACGGAAAACGATTTTCGTGAGATCTACGAGAGAGCGGCGAGGAACGATAGCCGGTGAATGAAGACGAGAAAGAGCGAGGAAGAGAAAGAGTGAGAAAAAGAGTGAGAGAGAGAGAGAGAGAGGGGAGATCGAGAGCTCGCCGAGGCTCTCCTCTTGCACGGTTATTTTCGAGCCGCTCTATTTCTGCCGTAGCACCCTGCAACGAGGATCTCCCGCGGGCGCGTTTGTTGATAAACTTATTTTCAACGGGCCGTCGGAGATTTTCGTGCGAAAGCGGGGGAAAATGGCGATCGCCGGCGGGGGTGAGGACGCGGGCTCGGCCCGAGAGCCGAGAACGACACCGGGGTCCCGGTGTAAAAATAAAAGCGTTGGCCAGCCGCCAGAGACCTCCTTCCCGCTCTCTTCTTCTTCTTCTTCTTGTTCTTCTTCCGAGACTCGCAGGCCCCATGCCAAGCCGCGCGGCGACTCTCTAATTTACCCGTAAAACGACCATCGCCGTCGACCTCCGCGCCCCTTTGATACAGCTGACGAGGCGACCAACGACAGATTTCCTCCGACGAACCTCGTCGAACTCTCTTCTCACCCTGGCCGCAATCGAGCCACGCTAAAACCGACTTAGCGACTCGCAAAAATTCCCGGACCACGCTTCCTCGGCCGGGAAATCACGGTTCACAGTGTTTAATCCCCCGAGTACTTAACCCTTTGCACTCGAAGCCGGATTGAAAATAGTACGAAATAAATAAAATAATTGCAATTTAAAATAGTTCTTCCGGACCAACAGCTCTTTAAGTATAAGCAAATTTGATTAATGAAATTATTTCGATACGCGATGTAAGTGTTTAATGGCGCCCCGGGGTCGCTACTCGAGGGCAAAGGGTTAAGAAAAGCGACGAATTCCAAGCGCTCAAGGATAGCGGCGAATTCCAAGCGATTAGGGCAAGCAACAAAATAACAAGCGCTTGTGAAAGGTGACAAATTGGTGGACGAGACGTGTTTTAACCCTTTGCACTCGAAGCCAGATTTAAAATAGTACGAAATAAATAAAATAATTGGAATTTAAAATAGTTTTTCCGAATCACGGTTTTTCCATTTTATGCGTGCGAAATTGAATATTTTGAACCGTGCAAACAGTTACGCTTTCAACAGCTCTTTAAATATAAGCAAATTTGATTAATGCAATTATTTCGAGACGCGACGTAACAGTCTTTAATGGCGCCTTGGGGTCGCCACTCGAGGGCAAAGGGTTAAGAAAAGCGACGAATTCCAAGCGCTCAAGGATAGCGGCGAATTCCAAACGATTAGGACAAACGACAAATTACAAGCGCTTGTGAAAAGTGACAAATTGGTGGACGAGACGTGTTTTAACCCTTTGCAGTCGAGTGGTGTCTCTCAGTCGCCGCTGAATGTGATTGATTATACCACGTTCCAAAATAATTTGCACATGATTAAATTTGTTCATGTTTAAACATGTTTGTTTGTACATTTCGTTAATATAAATCGTCAAAACATAGCAAATGTTATCAAAAACAAAACATTAAAACTGAAAGCATGCAACGTGGCAAATCTTGAACCGAAGAGAACAAAACAGAAATCCTTCAAAAAATGGCAAAAAGGAGAGAATTTCAATGAAATTTCACTAAAAACGAAAAGAAACAGGCGCGAGAAAGAAGGAAAATATCCAGAAGGCGATAATCCCTTCAAGAGATCCCTTCAAAAGATAAGCTGGATAAGATAAGCTGCTATTAAAAAATAAACTCTCTTGATCCGATGAAACGTATTTCCACAGAACTATAACATCAAATTACGTGAACCAACAATTTCCACGGTGTCATATAAACTTGTCCACCGGCGTGCATTAACGACAAAGTTATAATTAACGTCGCGGGGAAAGAAATCGTGGGCCAACGGGTTAACTGGAATGCGCAAGCTTCTTGTACGCGGACCAATCGGCGGCGGCGATTGGCTGAAAAGAAAAGAGTGCGCCGCTGCAGATAGCAGGCGAGCAGCTCGGTTTCCCAGATTCCAGCGAAAACGATTTGCTCGTGAAGTTGCCGGGTTCCCATGCGCGGCTGGAATTTTGCGGTGATTTTATTGGCTAATGACTGACTCTCTCTCTCTCTCTCGTCCTCTCCTCCGCCGTTACTCCTCGCGGCGCCATAAATTATTCCCGTATTACTACCGTGTTCATAGCGGATTAATCGGAGACCCTTGAACCGCCTATATGGACCGGCGCGAAACGCCGGCCGAACACCAATTCCCGGGATGCAACGTTCGCCCCCTATTGAATATTAGAGCTGGCGAGACTGATCGAGGTCAAGGAGATGAAAGCGACCAGCGTCGGCGCAATGCGCATCACGAAGGTCGGTTCCCGAGAACTATGTGCGCGCCCGCCGGATTAACGCCGCTTCTTGGTCGCGTGCCCCGATCGATAATTCGAAAGTTTTATCGCCGGGGTATTTTCGCCGAGAGACCGCGGCAAATTGGAAAAATAAACTTTCATGTCTTGTTTGCCGCGCCGGCTCCCCCGGGCAAACGCGGACGGCCCGCAAATCTTCGTCCGTTTAGACCGTATCCGTCGGAGAAAGTCTCCGACGCGGCTCGGAAACTTACCAAAGTGGAAATCGTTTATCGGAGTCGCGAGCTTTTACCGCGAATTTCCATGGAGCAAACAATTTTTTTCAGGCTCTGGCTGGACGGGTATAATATCTCTCTGAAACGTTACGATCTTAATTCGTTTCTGTTAAGAAGTCGAGAAGTCTATTAATCCGTTGGGCTTACCATTATCTTTCTTTGCGATTAAAGCGATTAGAATCGTTTCGATTGTAATCGTTTACTCGAAGAAAAAGGGAATTTGCATTTATTGCCTGCCTATATTTATTTAAATGCGTCGAGCGCCGTGACCCTAATTTTTGACGAATTCTGAAAATTCGTTTCATGATTCCTCGGGTCATTTGAAGTAACTTTTTCCTTTACACAAATTTTCTCCGAGGCACCGTTAACGAGATATTAACGAAAAACGCTGACCAATGAGGGGTCAGCTCAACTGGTGGACGGCGGCCCAGCCAACGAGCGCGCGAAGCCCAGTTGGCTTGACCGTCCTAGCGCCAGGCGAGCCCGTCCCTCATTGGTCACTGTTTTTCGTTAATAACTACCAAACGAAGCCGCGGATTGCATTTTCGCAAAGGAAAAAGTTACTTCAAATGATCTCACATTTTGTATTTTAAAATTGCTGAAATTACAGAGACTTTTTCATAGGAAATTATTAAATGAATTTCACAGTCCGAGTATTCGTTGTAATAAAAATTATGGGAAGTCTAAATAGACCCGGTTTTATCATTCTTACAGAGCAACAGAAATTCGTCGCTTTTAGTGCTCGGTAGGTTTAGTGTTAATATAATTATGGGACAAACTGTATTATATATTCGAACAAACCGAATTTGATCAGAACGTTTCGGATGCGGCAGGGTTCTAATATCAACCGCTGTGATACATTTTAATTCTCTAGTTTCGATTTACTTCATCAAATAAAATTTTAGTGCTCGATTATCGACGCTGAACGTGTTAAAAAATCACAGAAATACAAGAGAATTTTATTCCAATTTAAAGAAACAGCCCAACGATCGTGCTTAACAGCTTGTAACTACAAATCCCAGTGACTAATCAGATTCAAAGCTCGGCAGGGAATTAATTCTCGTATTTAAATGCATAATTTTAACAGCGGTACAGCGCGGAACAAAATTATACGCGGACGTGGCTTAAAACTCTTTTAAAACTGGATTAAATGCCTCGAATCTTTGCTCAGAAGATACAAGAAGAAGATCAACTGAACGAAAATGCTTTCCAAAATGTAACCATCACCCGCATTCACAAAAACAATAAAAAGACTCACGTTTAATACGCATTAAAATCGGATCACTGAAGATGAACTATTCTCGTCCACCTAGATCATTTCGACTACCTCGCGACGATACCCGGATGAATCACGTAGAGCGTCGAATTCAGGCCAGCTGGAATTCCCGTCGCAACGGGGCCAAGCTCGACTCGTTGCCCGCATAGTTCTCGCGTCGCGTCCGCGGCGAGGGGCGCATCGCGCAACACCTTTTCCAAAGGTCGGGTCGCGTCGCGGCGCGCCGCGTCGCGTCGAATTATGCGGCAGGCTGCGCGGGTGCATCAAAGAGATTAGCGAATCTCCAGCATAATTGCCGGCGGCGGTGATAAACGGGCGGCGGCGTGGTGGCTCGGCTCGGCGGCCGGCTACGCTGAATCGATCGACCTTAATCGACAAGGTTGAACAAGGCTACGCCGACGGGCCGCCGGTTACGCCGCATAGAGTGCGTCTAGCCTGCGTGATCGATAACCGTGATTACACGCCGGACGACGGTGATTCGATGTTGACGTGACCCTGGAAAACCTGGGCCGTTCGTTCTCACGGTGAAATCGCGGAACGCGCTGGGATCGTTCCGCGACGAAATCTCTTTCGCGGTCGGCCGGACATTCGAACCGTTCTCGCAGAGCGATCTCTCCCGTAATTGCTTGCCGCGTGGAAACGGCGCGCGAATCGCGCTCCTTCGACCTCGGCCGAACAGGCACACCGTTGTACAACCCGTCGTCGAAGAAGACGCGAGCGAGGTATCTTCTAATCGTTCGTGTCGTTCCTTTTTCCAGAGAAGAACAGCGCGCGGAACAGCCGCCGTAGACGCGTGAGCGAGGGCGCGAGTCGCGACAGGCTAGAGAAGGACGCGGAGACCGGTCTGTCGACGCGGCAGGAGGACCGGGAGAACAAGGGCCCGCAGTCGAGCCGGCCGAGCAACCGAATACCGCGGACGGTATTGGAGGAGGCGAACAGTGCTTCGAGCAGCGCGTCGAAGCTCCGCAAGCGCGGCACCGCGGTGAAAAGCCCGGTCGAGACCGGGTCGCAGCGCCCGGTGCGGCGAAGACCGAGGCCGGCCGTCCAGGAAGCGAGAGCGGAGCCGCAGGAGCAGCAGCAGCAGCAACAGCATCAGCAACAGCATCAACAGCAGGAGAGCAGCGTCTCGAGGACATCGGCGAAGTCCTGCGAGAAAGAGGAGCGCTTGGGCAACGCCAGAGTCGAGGAGCGTCGGGCGCAGGAGGAGCAGGACGAGGACCAGGACCACTGCGACCCTCTGACCAAGAGACTCAGGACAAGCCCGATCGGTAGGAAGCTTAGGTCCGAGCGGAAGGGGAAGGGTAACTGCGAGGAGGCCGCGTCGTCGGACCAGGAGGAGCCGGGGGAGGACGTTCGGAAGCGGGTCGAGCCGGAGAGAGAGCCGGAGAAGCTCGAGGAGGACGAGGAGAGCCAGTCGAGAGAACGGGACAGGGAACCGGAGCCTCCACCTCCGGACAAAGCGGACCCCGGGGGCTTGGCAGTCGCCGAGCGGAAACAGCAGCCGGATCACTCGGAAAAGGAGGACCGGGGGAGGACCGCCGGCAAGGATCAGGTGTTCGTGAATGGCTCGTCGCTGGCCGAGCCGTCGTTGGTCGGTGACAAAGCGAGCAGCGTCCTCCTCGATGCCGACGCCGCGCTGCTGAAGCCTGCAGCAGCCGAGCCGAAGGCGAAGGGCGTCGAGGAGGAAGAAGAGGAGCCGCGGGAGGAGGACGAGGAGGAGCCGGAGCAGGACCCGGAGCCGGAAGAGCAGGAGCGGGAACGGGAGCGGGAACGCGAACAGGAACAGGACGAGGAGGACGAGGACAGAGGCTCGAGGAGGACCGAGCTGACCACCGAGCTAGGCACGGAGGATAGCGTGGGCAGCGTAAGCGGCGCGAGGGCGGCCAGCGTCGAATCGGTCGTCGAGCTGCTGGAGTCGAGCAGTCAGGACTCAGGCTCCGTGCTGGAGAGGCTGAGTCCGCTTAGTGGCAGCGGCGGCGGCGGCTCTGGCAGGCAGAGCCTGCTCCTGGAGCAGCAGCGGGAGCAGGACCGGAACCGTCACAACGAGAGTCCCGTCATCCTAGCCGAGAAACTGAACAAGCCGCCACCGCCGATCGCTGGACACCATCACCATCATCTGCAGCAGTATCATCAGCACCATCACCAGCAGCCGCCGCAGCAGCACCATCACCAGCAGCAACGTTACTCGAGCAGCCCGGTGATCCACCACCACGTGCAACAGCAACAGCAGCAACAACAGCAGCAGCAACAGCAACAACAGCAACAGCAGCAGCTCCATCACCAGCATCGGGTAGCCAGCAGCCCCCATCAGCACCACCAGCATCACCACCAGCTCCCACCGTCGAGCCTCCTCGAGGTGCAACAGCAGTCTCACGCTGGGAGGGGCGGCGATGAGGCCGGCCTCATGGAAGTGGAGGCCGGGGCCGGTATACCTGGGACTGGTGTGCTCGCCGGAGTGCCAACGGCCGTCGGCATCCGAGGCGTCGGGCCCGCGGCTGGCGGCGCCGCCGCGACCGGAACCTATGGGGACAGCGGCTCCGACAGCGGGGTAAGCTCCCTGAGGAGCGCCGGCTCCGGCGACGAGAGGAGCGGCAGCAGGAGCTCCGCTCTCAGCGTCGACGAGACAACCACCTCTTCGATACCAACCGCGGCCGCCACGCCGGCCCGAGTCTGGCACGTGCAGAGCGTCCAGCACACCTCCTTGCTGATGGCGCATCCGCAGCCGCCGCCGCCCGCCGCAGGCCCGAGCTCCGCGGCAGCCGCGGCCGCAGCCGCCGCCGCGGCCGCGGCCACCGCGCCGCCCGGGGCCTATCAGAGCGGAGCTCCACCGGGACATCATCATCCGGCGGTCGCGTCCGAGATGCTATGGAGGTCGCCCAGGTACCCGCCCCTGTCGCACGCGCTTCTGGGACCCGCGCAACCGAATCCCGAGGAGCTGATCGAGAGGGAGAGGATGCTGCGGTGAGTCTCGACGAATCTCTTGTTATTTGTCTTTCTTCTCTTCTATCGTACCTCGTTTTTCCTCTTATTCTTGTTTGGTCATTCTCAGTCGATCCTCCGGAACTCGGAGGCTCGCTCGAGGCCGGTACGAAACTCTCCGGTCTCGTTCCATAACTGTTCTCTTTCTGTTCTGGATTACAGTACATGCGTTTCGTTCCCGTAATTCTGTCTCACGTAACGAATACATTGTATCTTCTTGAGGCATTAAAAGCAAGGATTCTATGCCGGGATGAGATTAATGCGTGCGATACGATCGCGTTTTTTTGCGAGTGCAGTCTCTCTTAGCTGAACGTTTATTTTTGTGATGTTCTGACAACAAAACATTCTATTGTCTAAAAATTTCATTCGAGTTCTCAACTAGATCTGAAATAATGCAATGGTTAGATAATGGAACGTGTGGATAGCAGTATACAGGGTGTCCTAAAAATGTCTTGCAATTTGGAAATGGGAGGTTCCTCGGGTCATTCGAAGTAACTTTTTCCTTAGCGAAAATGCAATCCGCGGCTTCGTTCACGAGTTATTAACGGAACACGGTGACCAATGAGAGACGAGCTCGGCTGGCGCATGGTGGCCGAGCGAATGAGTGGGGGAAGTCCAGTTCCGCTCATTGGCTCCGCCGCCACGCGCCAGCCAAGCTCGCCTCCCATTGGCCACTGTTTTTTCGTTAATAACTCGTTAACGATGCCTCGGAGAAAATTTTTGTAAAGGAAAAAGTTGCTTCGAATGACCCGAGGAACCTCCTATTTCCAGATTCCGAGACTTTTTGGGACACTTAAATTATATTGTAAACCCAAATATTGTAAAAATAATTGCTCGGATGACAGTATCTCTGTTGTACTTTTTTATTACCGACAGACGGCGACTTCGGGCACCGGATATTTTCGTGCGTCAGACAGAACTGAGAAACAACAGTTATGGAACCAATATAATATCGGTTCCTCGGAACCGAAACCAATCACAACGATATAAGCGAAAACCGATATTCCTTGCGACGAACTTTTTCGGGTCTCCATTTTAAGAATCGAGACCGATACAACCGACATCGACGACTGTACGATGCCGTAAAAGCATCGAAGCTCCGTACAAGCTCCGTTTAAGCGCGGAGCCAATTTTGCTGAGCTTTCTATTGAGGCGGCAAGCCGGCATTATCTTTAACCTTGATAATACCGGTCCCATGCGCCGATGCCGTCTGAACGATAGGTTCACTGTCAGTGCCTAGAAACTGACGCCGCTCAAATGAAAAGTAGACTATTAGTCCAAGAGGACTAACACTGCCCAAACGAAAAGTGCCAATGCCAATCCCAGGGGGCTGACGCCGCGCTTAACTCTTTGTGGCAGAGGATTTTAGAGAATAAAATAGACCCATGTTGCACAGAAGTTTTATTTATATATATTTAATATATAATATATATAATATATAATATTATTTATTTATATTTATATATATTTATTTATTAATATATATTATATTATATCATATCATATATATGATAAAATATATAATATAGTAATAATATATATAATATTATATAATATATAATAAAAATATATATAATATAATAATAATAATAAATATAATATTATATAATATATGATACAAATATATTACATTTAAATTAAACAAGATCGGTATATTCTTATTAACAAAGGAATCAAATAATATAAGAACAAAAAAAAACAATAATTCAATTCACTTCAATTTGTTGCTATAGAATAGGACTCAAATAGTTCCATCGTGCCTCATGAGCCCATGAATGCGGCTGCAGCTATTGCAATATTTCCAAATGGGTTTAAAAGCGTCCCACAATGCATTGCCGCACATCAAAAAGATGCAACATCTTAAATCCCACCGTGCCTCAAAGAGTTAACGCGTTAACAACCCGATACGACGCGCGTCGTTCTCTGCGTACAGTAATGTCTCCCTTACCGACGCTCAGATTGTCCACAAAAATGGACAATTTAGGAAGATGCGACACGATTGTTCGAGCCTTGCAGCTCGTTTCTTATAGTTGTCGACAATTCGTAACTATAAAAATGATCCGCAAGGATCGAACAATTGTATCTTCTCTGACCTAAATTGTCCATTTTCGTGGACAGTCTGAGCGTCAGTAAGGGAGACATTACTGTAATTCGACGCGACGACTCGATGCTCCAGTCCCACCGGCGGGTTCAAGGGCCCAAAAGCGCGGAGGGCGTCGGCACCGAGAAGAAAGCAGCCGATTTACATGCGAACGTTCGCTGGCTGAAAGAATACGAGTGTGCATAATAGCGGTTGGAGGCGAGCACCTTGCGTGCGGCTCGGTCCGAGGAAACGGAATGCCATCGGAGCATCGAACACCTCGGGCAGCTGCGTGCAGCGTAGCGTTCCTCGCTCGGCCCGAGCCCGAGCCCGAGCCCGAGCCCGAGCCTCTTTGTTTGCTCTCGCGTGACTGCCGGCCGTAAGAAGGTGGAGACTGAGACGAAAAACCGGCTAACAGGACGCAGCCGCGCGTGTACCTGCGTCTGCGTGCGTTTCCGGGCGCCAGCTGCGAGCCTCGAACTTCCGTCGGATTATTGCGATAGACGAGGCTGGCCGGCCGGCGCTGCGCACTCCCTCTTCCTCGCCCCTCGGCGAACCAATGACCCGGAACAGGCCGCTTCTAGGTATAAATAAGCTTCTTAACCACCTACGAAGCCCACACCGGTGCTGATGAACCTGCCGAGGGATGACCTAGCCGAAGGACGCCCGACACCCGCGGCTTTCCGTTTCTCCGAGCGCGTTTCCGCGGATTCGGGAACGGGCTCGATCTTATTTCGAGATTAACCTTTTAGCTACGACTGAATTCTGCGCGAGGCTATTTCTCTGGACGGCAGAGTCTGATATATGTACTGTACAGAGTGTCTGTATATTGTTAAGATACAGTTATATTGTTAACAGTTATATTGGTAAGATAAGTCTGTATATTGGAAATCGATGTGAAGACAAAAGAACTGTGAAAAAATGCATATGAAGACGATTGTTTGATTCAAACGATGACCGAGTGAGCTATTAGAGTATAAGCCACTATAGTGGCGCGTCGTTCAGAGAGATGGCATCCGCGAAAGCCACTATAGTGGCGCGTCGTCCAAAGAGATGACATCCGCGGAAACCACTATAGTGGCGTGTCGTTCTAATGAGCTATTAGAGTATAAGCCACTATAGTGGCGCGTCGTTCAGAGAGATGGCATCCGCGAAAGCCACTATAGTGGCGCGTCGTCCAAAGAGATGACATCCGCGGAAACCACTATAGTGGCGTGTCGTTCTAAAAGATGATATCCGCGAAAGCCACTATAGTGGCGCGTCGTTCAGAGAGATGGCATCCGCGGAAGCCACTATATTGGCGCGTCCTTCAGAGAGATGACATCCGCGGAAGCCACTATAGTGGCGCGTCGTGCCTAAAAGGTTACCGAAGGCTCGGCCGCGGCTCTCGGGAACGGCCCGGCGAAGTAACCCGCGTCTGTTCGCGCGCCGGACGCGGCTGTTTCATCGGCGAGGTGCGAGGTAGCAGCAGGGCCGGGATCGGTTCGGGGCCCGCGATGCACCGGCGCGCGTCCGGTTACGCTCGCACGCTACTCACCCGCCGCGACATTGGTATTGAACAGTCCTCGGAACCCGTTTATTTGCCGGCGTGATCGCCGCGGCGAAAATAAACCGGCCGCGCGCGGACGCGTTTATTTGCACGCGAAGACAGAAAAATCGCGGCATTCCGCGAACCGGCCGAGGACGGCCGCGATTCTCAGCGGCCGAATTCGCGCGTTCGTTCGTTTCAACCGGGGAAACCGTGCCGGCCCTACCACGGCCGCGTTTCCGACGACGCTGGGTCGTTCCGTTAACGACGGACGTCGGCAAATTGCGACGCGCTCTGGTTCCCGATTTTCGAGGCCGGCGTGGCGGCTCCGCGATTTTTCTTCGCGATCGCGACGACTGGTTGGATCGTGGAACTCCGCGCGCGTTTAGAGAGGTTCGTTTGGAACGCGAGGATAATTTTTGTTCGTCAGCTGATCGGTTCTGAAAGGGCTCGTTTTTTGGACAGAAGCGCGGAGGTACTGAACGTAGTTTAATCGATGTTGAATAGATCTTCGCAAATGGAAAGGGCCCATTCTTAATTTTATAATGTTGGAATTGACAGCGAGGGCATACCGAAGCATTGATTGTTTATGTTTGCTCGCTGAAAATTGAGCTCCGAGTAGATCGCAGTCTTTGATGCAGAATAAAAATTGCATCGATTGCAAGGAACGGAAATCAAATATAAATTGATTGCGAACCATAATGAGTTTAATGAGATGAGTGGATGGATCTTCTCGAATGAAGAAGGCACATACTTTATTCTATATTGTTGGAAATGACAGCGATGCATTAATTGTTTATGTTTTCTCACTGAAAATTGAGCTCCCAGTAAATCGCAGTCTTTGATGGAGAATAAAATTGTTCGCGTCGATTGCAAGGAACGGAAACCAAATTTAACCTTGATTTCTTCCCATAATGAGTTTAATAAGTTCAAACTGCAGTAAATTCTCTCCAATTGTTGACCAATTTGTAAACAAAAATAGACAATTTTGGGAAGAGGAAGTGCGATTTTATTCGAGCCTCGCTGCTCGTTTTTATAGTTGCGACTATAAGAACAATAATGTAATAGATAATAAATAGTAAATAATAATAAAAATAATATAATGTAATAATAATAGTAAATAATATATAGATAATAATAAAAATAATATAATATAATAATAATAGTAAATAATATATAGATACTAATAATAAAAATAATATAATAGTAATAGTAAATAATAAATAGATAATAATAATAATAATATTATAATAATAGTAAATAATAAATAGATAATAATATCAAAAATAATATAATATGATAATAATAGTAAATAAGAAATAGATAATAATAATAATAATAAAAACGAGCTCTCGAAGAATCGTATCTCTCTTC